GACACTCTACCAAGGACAATAAAATAACACTCTGTCTCTACAAATAAATAAATAAACTAAAAAATTTTAACTATAGTAGTGGGTTCTTTAGTTCATATTTTAATTTGGCATTTTAGGGTCCTTTTTCATAGGTAGAACTTGAGTCAAATATTTTGTTGAAAATATTTTAGAAACTCAGTTTTCTATTTTATAACAAATGCAAGTGTGGATATTTGTTTTTAGCATCTCCTAATAAAGTACTTATATATTCCTTTCTAAAATTAAAGTTTACAGAGTATTGATTTAAAAATGTGTAATCATTTCATATATACAAAGCAAGGAATGAAATATAGAATGGTTTAGTTGTTTAAATTGTGTTATACCTAGCAGATTAAAACTGTCTATAAAATTGATTTAATTCAGCATAGACTAATCTTTATAAAATTCTTATTTTGTGTTCATTGACATTTTAACTTTCAATATTAGTTTTTTAAAATGTAGAAGAAAACTTAGATTCTGATTAAAAATACATTATGAAGATTATTTTTAAAGTAAATAAAATTATAGATTTGAAAATAGAATTTATTAAAATGTAGTATTCTTGTTTCAAAATTAATGGTACAAATTTATTTTCTTAAATTACTACTGTATGATCTACACTTTGTTTTGCTCTGAATAATTAGTTACGACGATTGCAGAAAGTTTCCACTAGAGTGTGCTAAAGATACTTCAGTGGGTAAAGTTATTCAATTGCCTAATCTTGTCAGCCTGGGCAAATTTTTTTTTTTTTTTTAAAGAAGAATTTCATTTCTTGTTTATGAAATTTCTTTTGTTATGAAATAAATTCTATACCTTAACATTTGAATATTTCTACGGATATTATAAATGAGTAGTCTGTCCATTCTTGGTTTTTAGTAAGCATGTTAGCTAGAAATGTCTTTATTTTATAAAGTTATTCTTTAAAAAGTTAGTTTTTATCACATAATAGGTGTTAATTTTTCTTTACATAGTAGGTATATTTGTGAAAACATGAATAATCTAAAATGAAGGGAGTAATTTGTTATATGAGGTTAAAAACTCTCAATTTTTTATACATAATTTTATTTATTTATTTTTTGAGACAGAGTCTCACCCTATTGCCCT